AAAATGAAGTGAACCGGGAAACTTGTCCTGACTACTGCACTCTATGGGGTTGATTTACTAAAGGAAAATAGACAATGCACTTTGCAAAGTGCAGTTGCAGTCCGCAAGAGCAGTTGCTCCAGAGCTTAGTAAATGAGCAGAAGCTCTGCTGACTTACATCATCCAATCATGTGCAAGCAGAATGCTTTTATTTTCCCTGCATGTGATTGGGTTAGTTTGGAAAAGGGAAGCTGTACCTCATTTACGAAGCTCTGGAGCAACTGCACTTGCAGAGTGTAACTGCACTTTGAAAAGCGCAAGGTCTATTCGCCTTTAGAAGATCAACCCCTATATGTTGTTTTTTCTGATAGACTGGCTTCTGATGAACAGGCCTGCAGCATTTGATCAGCACATGCAGCCAGTTGCTGCAACACTGATCTGTGTATTCTGATAGTGGGGAAATCACTCTGTCAGAATGTAAAGACACAGCAGGGAGGATTTCCCTATCCACCTCAAATGTGTAGATAGGGAAATTTATTCAGCTTATTTTGTTCAGCTGCTGACTGAATGAAAACTACTGAACCATATATGGTCAGCTTTACTCCTGACCCCTGACCTCTATACATTATGAGGTACATAGTCCTGACAAAAGTGTTCATTGTCCCAACAGTTGCTTGTTTTAACGAAGTTCTTCTTTAAGGTAGGCACAATCAGACAAAGTGATCAGTTTCTGTGCAAAGTAAAGCATATGTGATGGAAATGTTTAATTTAAAAAAAATGATCATTCATTTTGACGTGTATGTGTGTCTGTAAAACGGTTTCTCATAGCAGAGTGATTAGGAATATTTTGTGGTACAAGGACTGTGGTATGTGTGTGCAGTGTATACAGCGAGAAGGCACAGATTCTGTCTAATCACTTCCCTTTAAGCCCTTTCTGCTAGCTGGGTACACACTTAAAAATTTTTCATTAAACTAGCAGGATGAAACCAAATAAAAAACAGAGATCCTCACATATAGACAAGCTATCCTAATGCAGGGATCTCTGACACTGAGACACTGTATTCTGATAGGGGGATGCCCAGTTCCAGAATACACTGATCAGTGCTTGTAGCCATTGACTGAAAGCTCAGATCGAATGCTGGTTTTCCAGCATGCCCATTAGACTGGCTTCTTTTGAACAGACAGTGGAACACATTAACTGAAAGTCGGCCAGTTCCTGCTGAACGAAAACATTTTTGGCCCATGTGTATTAGGCTTTAGGCAAAATTTGTCTAAGCCCATCATACACAAAGGCATGCTATGCGTGCAACTGAACTTGTTTTCCTGCTTATCCCAGGGTTCTTCAGGTCTTTCATTATTCTAGTCATGCTCACATTTTCTCACTCTGTTTTGACTTTCTAAAATGGTAAACCAGCAGGTTACTTGTTATGGGTGTTGTCAACCATTTAAATATTGATTCTATTAGTTTTTAATAGGAATTTCAGTCAAAAATGTGCGCAGTAAAACAAATTTGCTCTGTCAGTAAATTTGTCATGGTTTGTCAGTAAAAAAAGTTGTGGGAGGCTGTCAACACTGGCCCGAGCCAGTGGCGGAACTACCAGGGTCACAAAGGTCACACTTGCGACCGGGCCCTGGTGTTCCGCCACTGCGGGGGGGGGCTCGCTGACTGAAGAGAAGAAGTAGTTTTGCTCAGGTTGGGACTTGGGAGATACACACTCACCATAGTAACTGCATAGCGGCCCGCCCACCCAGTCTCTTCGCTTGGGTGTAGAAACTGGAGTCAGCTGACCCCGGCCGGTACAGTGAAGGGGGAGGAGCTGGAGGAGGGCACTGTGTGAGGAAACCCATTTTGGGATAATAATAGATGCATGTGGAGGGAGCCAAGAGCTTGCATGCAGACCAGTGGAAAACGAGTGGACACTGACTGACAGGTGACAGCAAGTGAGTGTCACTGATCCCATCCCCATCCAGCATTGCCACTGATCCCATCCCCCCACCCCAGCACTGCCACTGATCCCATCAACCCCCAGCACTACCACTGATCCCACCCCCCCCCCCCCCAGACCCAGCAACTAATGGGTGAGTGGTAATGATATGCAGTAACCTCTAGCAACCAATGAACAGTGATAATGTGTATTAGCCTCTAGCAACCAATCAGCAAGCAGTAATGTGCAGTAACCTCTAGCAATCCAACCAGTGAGTGGCAATCATATGCTGTAACCTCCAGCAATCAATCACAATCGCTGCCTGATCTGCTGCAGTAGACTAATCTTGAGTCTAGCTGCTATTTGGTGTATGTCACAGAGAAGGTGGAGAGAAAATATATATGGGTGGAGGGAAGCCGAAGAAAATGTCTGCCCAGGGTCCAATCAATATTAACTGCTTCAGCTCCGCCCCATAGCAGAAATACTGCTACAGGGAAGCAGCTGTGCGCAAAATCACGTATATATACACGTGATTTTGCATTTCCGGGTAGGGGCATGCGCGCACCGCCAATCATCAGGTTCTGGCCGGAAGCACAAACACAGAACATAGTGTAAAACAGCACACAGCTAACCCTTTGATCACCCCAGATGTTAACTCCTTCCTGCCTGGTGCCATTAGTACAGTGTCACTGCTTTTTATTAGCACTGATCACTGTATTGGTGTCACGGGGGATGTCAGTGAAACCAAGTCCGTTCCCTCCAGTGTCAGAATGCCCAACGCAGTCCCGGTATAAGTCGCTGATTGCCGCCATTACTAGTAAAAATTTTAAATAAAAAAGCCCGGTATATATGCCGCCATTTGTAAATGCTAAAACTTTCACGTAAACCAATTTACACGTGTTGGGATTTTTTTTTTTAGCAAAGATGTAGCCGTATAAATTTTGGCCTAAATTTATGAGGAAATTTAATTTTTAACATTTTTTTACTGGACATGTTTAATAGCAAAAAGTCAAAAAATATTGTTTTTTTTTTTTTTCAAAATTGTCGGTCTTTTTTTTATAGCGCAAAAAATAAAAACTGTATTGGTGTCACGGGGGATGTCAGTGAAACCAAGTCCGTTCCCTCCAGTGTTAGAATGCCCAACACAGTCCCGTTATACCACCAAAAGAAAGCTCTAATTGGGGGAAAGAAAAGGACGTAAATTTCATTTGGGTGCAGCATTGCATGACCACGCAATTGTCAGTTAAAGTAATGCAGCGCCAGAATACAAAAAATGGCCTGGTCAGGAAGGGGGGTAAATCCTCTGGAGGGCAAGTAGTTAAAGACATTTCCACTTAGGGGTGGACTCACTTTTGTTGCCAGCGGTTTAGACATTAATGGTTTTGTTGAGTTATTTTGAGGGGACAGCAAATTTACACAGTTATACAAGCTGTACACTCACTACTTTACATAGGAGCACAATTTCTAGAGAGGGACTGAACACTGTCACCCTATAATAGAAAGTGCCTAAACAAAAAAATTCAGGATCAAGTATTATATTAATGAAAGCTGCAGATTTACAAATATCGGAAATTTTTAAATACCATTAACATATGAAAGCTTTCAACACATTTTATAGAATAACACATTTTAAAATATTTTAGAGATTTTAGAGATAGGGTTTCTTTGGAGAAAAGAGGAAAAATGTTTGTGAAACGATTAGGACAATCCTTCTGCTACACTGTTCTTCTCAGATGAACTGGCACATATAATCCTGGCATCAGCAGGATACAAACCTCAAGCATGGCTGAAGATGAAAAAGTGCATCTCTAGCCGAGTTAAACCTTTAAAAAAGGGTCCCAACTGCACTGCCAAGTACACAAGCTTGTGAATAATAACAACCTACATGCTGGGTAATTATTTTTTCCAGGTTCATCTGAATCCTCAGCTGCTGAGATAGATGCTATCGGAGATATGTCAGCAAAATAAACTAAAGAGAACACTGGAACAATGGCACAATGTGCAATGAGCTGTAAAAAAATATTGGCACAGCTTCAAAGGAAGCACACAGAGAGACACTGGCTGACCAGAAGAAACAGGCCACAGAAACTGGCATACAACCTGTTCTGTGGCAGCCCTCATTCATCAGCAGGATGGCTTTCTGAAGTAAAATGAAAAAAGGGAACGGCACAGGCCACCCCAGGTCAAAGCAGTACTACAATGTTAAAGAGAAAAAGGTGCTTATGTCTAGAAAAGTAAAGACACACTGCATATGAAGCAATCCATCAATTGTATACCCCTGCAGACAGTTTAGTATTTTATTTATTTATATTGGTGTACTGTATTTTATTAACTGGCCAGGGAAAATAAAAAATGCAAAATACTAAAAAAAAAAGACAACTGATAAAAGACAGATATTGCATGCCTATACATTTCCATAGGTGCATTGTACTTGTAAGTCAGCTTAGTGTATTTAAAATATATCTTAACAGGTTCAGAAACTAATCTCAACCACAGTTAGTTCCGATACACTCCAAACATATTTTATAATCAATTAACCACTTGCCTACCGGGCACTTATACCCTCTTCTTTACCAGGCCAATTTTCAGCTTTCAGCGCTGTCGCACTTTGATTGACAATTGTACCCATATGAAATTTTTATCATTTTTTCTCACAAATAGAGCTTTCTTTTGGTGGTATTTAATCGCTGCTTGGCACTTTACTTTTTGTGCTATAAACAAAAAAAATTGCAAACAATTTGAAAAAAAAATTTTTTTCTTTGTTTCTATTATAAAATTTTTCAAACAGGTAATTTTTCTCCTTCACTGATGTGCGTTGATGAGGCAGCACTGATGGGCACTGATAGGCGGCACTGATGGGTACTGATAGACAGCACTGATAGGTGGCACTGACTGGCATCACTGCTGGGCACTGACTGGTGGCACTGCTAGGCATTGACTGGCGCAACTGCTAGGCACTGACTGGCACAACCGCTGGGCACTGACTGGCACAACCGCTGGGCACTGACTGGCACAACCGCTGGGCACTGACTGGCAGCAACCGCTGGGCACTGACTGGCACTGGTGACTGGGCACATTGATGGGTGGTGGGTGGCACTGCTGGACACAGGTAGGTGGCACTTCTGGGCACAGGTAGGTGGCACTGCTGGGTGGCACTGCTGGGCACAGGTGGGTGCACTGCTTTGCACAGGTGGGTGGCACTGCTGGGTACCGATCATCAGGGCACTGATCATCAGTGCCCTGATGATCGGTGCCGATCCCTGCTCTGACAACTGCCGGTTCTCGGGCAGTACTTTCCTTGCGCTCTGACAGCGTGAGGAAAGTGCAGCCGAGAACCGGCAATTGCATTTCCCGGTGATCAGCGTGTCATTGGACACGGCTGATCACGTGGTAAAAGGCCGCTGTGATTGGCCTTTTACCACATCATGTGATCAGCTGTGTCCGTAGGACACAGTGATCACAGAGATCGCTGGGGGCGTGCAGGAGAGCGCGTTTCTGGGAGGACGTCATATGACGCCCTCCCAGAACTGGCCAGCCGCAGTGTAGCCGTCATTCGGCTATCTGCGGTTGGCAAGTAGTTAATTTATTATATGCACTAAGCTGCCACGAAGATCAAAATGATAGACATAAGGACAAGATGAAAAAAATAAAAAGGCTTGATTCAAACCATAATTTCAATCTTTTTTTAAAAATGTGTCAGTCCACTCATTGAAAACAATGCACTACTTATGCGGCTAAAACTTTAATAAATGTTACACTAACTGGTTTAAAAAATATATTCTATTGAAGTATGTATTCTTAACTCAAAAAGTACCTTCTATTGCTCTCAGTTTCTTCCAAATGTCCAAAGCCCTTATCTTGCTGCTGCTGGATCTGAATTCTGGCTACGTTCGTTCTCCATGGTCCCACTGCATGTAGGAGCGTAGCCACCCTCTCTTGCACATGCATAGATGATCTAGGGTCTATGGACCATGGGATTTGTAGTGTACATAGAGCAGTGCACAAGACTGCAACCAACATACTCTTCAAGTTCCCAACAAACAGAAAAGAGTGGGCAAAGGATTGGTTTGAGATGTCGCAGAGGATATTACAAGGAGGCAGGACAACCCAGTAAGAAAAGATTTTATAACAAAAAAAGAATCAGGGCAATTACGTAGTGGATACGTATGGATTATTTTTGGAAAATAAGGTTAGTGTTTAGTGTCAATTTTAATGGTTAAGTACAGTATATCTAAAGCCCAAACTATTTCTTCATGTTTTGGATAGTGTATGGAGGTGTTAAAACCCTTTTAGGTTTTCACTGCAATCCATATCCTTCCTGTTGTGTCACTGAGACAGGAAGTGACTTTACAGACAGCAAAGAACAAAAAGCTGCTGTGGTTTCAGTCATTACGCCCTCTGTTCAAATACGTTTTGGCCTAAGACATAGTTCAAGCAGAAAGGCTGTAGCTAGTTGTGCTTTAAAGAGGCCTAGAGACACATTTCCATATTGCAAGGAGCAGGGCCCTCCTAACCTGCTTGTATTGAACTGTATTGTTGCTGTATCGTCTCCCGTTATATTGTAAAAAACTGTGGGCGCTATATAAATCCTGAATAATAATAAAAATAATAATATTTGTCAAAGTAGCAAATATTTAAAAGTAACAATCTTAATTTAAAGTGGTTGTAAACCTGAAAAAAAAAAAAAAAAAAAAAACACAAATCAATCTAATCCTACAGTTGAATAGTGTTTACCTTTACTAAGCATTTGAGCTTAGTTTGGTATCTTGAAGCAATCCCCTTCTCCAGAAATCCTCCCTGCTCTTCTGAACAGAATAAATCCGACACAAGCAGAAAAATTGTGTCACCACTCCCCTTCTCCTGTGAGTGACAGGCTGTGCTGAAGACGAGACCAGCGTGATCCTCCATGTAATACACTGCAAAGGGGTGGGGGAGTGGGTGTCCTCTCCCTGCTGGTCTCTGACTTCACAAGATTGAGAACTTAGCAACAGTGATTTATGACATAGATCGGCATCACTTCAGTAATGCTGTACTTCACTAGGTAAGTCTGCTGACAGCCGATTATTGTCCTGCTCTATTCACAGCACCTAGCTTGTGAATTGCTGTTTACAGAGTTTTACATAAGAATGTTTCCTGGTCCACGTTGCCATTTTAGGCTGCAAGATTCCAATGATTTTTAACATTAACTCCTTCCTACCAGCTTTCTCCTGATTGGCACAGATATTGTGCTGTAAGCAGAGCTGACAATCACGGGCACTTGTGTATTCCCCTGAATGCACTCAGGAGACATGCTCGCAGGCATAGAGATGTCAGAAAGCTGTGCACGTTCTTCAGCCGAGGCCGTGTATAACTGAGGGATTATGTGACATCACATCTCCGCCTACTATTCTCTGGTCCTAAGCCACACCCACAGACCAGCAGTTTTTGGAGGGCTGGGACAAGCTAAGGGAGCATTTTTCTGGGGTACACTCACAGCTGTATGTATGTATGCATTTTTTCATTAAAATGTATTAATTTATGGCAAAAAGTAAATTATTTTATATTTGGGTTTAAAACCACTTTAAGTCATAACAAAATATAAAACAATAAGAACATTGCCATCAAAACAATAACATAATATGTGCTCAGTCACCAGTTCCTACTAAATTCTACAACAGAGCAGATGTGTGTTGAAATCCCAGAAAAAGGAAACAGGAAGTTCAGCACACAACAGTGACCTAGGAATCACTAGAAGAGGAAGTAAGGTAAAAGCTCCCCATCAGGAAGGTATACATAATATACATATGACATAGGACCTAATTTTCCTCTGAAAATCTAATTAAAACAATACAAAGAATGAAAAATTCTTACTAGCGTTCCATAAACAGAAAAGGTTGTGACATATGGTCATCTATTTTTATGAGTAAATTTAGACTGGTTAGACTGACAGAAAAACATTCTGCGAAAAAAGACGACTCAGGACTGTTGAAAAGTTAGAATCCTATACCAGGCAAGAATGGGACATTTTTCTCCCAAAACTCCAGCAACTGGTCTCTTCAGTATCCAGAGGTTACAGAGCATTATTAAAAGAAGAAAGGATGCTACACTGTAATATACATGGCCCTGTCCTAAATTTTTGAGACATGTTGCTGCCATCAATATATATAAAAAAATATGGTACATTTGCTCAGTTTAGACATTTGATAAGATTTCTATTGTGAATATAATATGGGTTTATGAGATTTTCAAATCATCGCATTCTGTTTTTATGTAGATTTTATACAGCACCCTAACTTTTTTGGAATTCAGGCTGTACAATAATGACAATATAACAAGCAGGATAAAATTGGAGAGTCACATCAAAATTGCTTTACGGTAACAACCTAAAAGCTGTATACACAGAAAATAAACTACAATCTACTGTCAACCAGAAGGCTCTGAGAGTTATTACACGAAATCCATACATGTTAACAATCCTAAATAAGTATTTATCCAGAAAAGAGAGGTACTTCTTCCTGAATGTACCAATAACTTATAGTTAAACAGAAACTCAGCATTAAAATTAAAGCATACTGTATGACATTACCCTTTTTGTGGATTCTGTAGAACATTTCTTCTTCATTGTTCTCAGTAAAAATTCAGGCATATTATTTTCAATATCCTCTCGTGTTCCTGTTTTATGTAGGACCGCAGCTAGAAAGGATATGACCTAAACCAAGAAGGCACATTTTAATATTAGTGCAAATAAGAGGTACTGTTGTATGCATGTTCAGCAGAAATGCTGTTACCCAGTTGGGAAGAACTACTGGCAACCAGAGAAGCCAACCCAGGGGGCAACATCAAGTCAGACAACTACTTCACAGTCCCCCCTATCCTGAGCTGGTTCACTTTCTAGAGGGAAAAGTTACTGGGTGGCGGACAGACTTACTAAAAAAGTTAACCGAAAAGACACAACTCAAGGCAGCTTTTTATTAACTTTTTTACCCCTGAGAAATCCTTGAATTTTCAGGTCATGTGGAACCACTGCTAAATATAGACATAGCTACAGTTCATAATTTCTGGAATGTGTTAAATAATAGAACAACAATTTGTACCTAAACTATTTCACACCAAGGGCAGTTACGTCTTTAACACCCATCTACTGTATTCAATAAAATTAGTAATACTGTGCACCACTTAACAACGTGCCTTAGAGCTGATTCACACAAGTGCGGATTGAAGTTCAGGTTTCACAGCCAGTTTATACGGTCATTGTTCAGTGGTTCAGGTCAGATTTAGATCAGGTTCAGGACAGGTTTAGATCCTGCTCACAAGTGATGACGTGCAGTTTAGAAACGGTTCCCATAGAAGTCAATAGCCAGTAATTCGCACCTGAAACAGACTGCACTGCTCAGAAATTGGACACAACTCTTTTTCAATCCGCGCTGCCAGCACACCAGACATACACTACATTGCCAAAAGTATTGGGATGTCTGCCTTTGCAAATGAACTTTAATAGCATCCCAGTCTTAGTTCGTAGGGTTCAATATTGAGTTGGCCCACCCTTTGCAGCCTTAACAGCTTCAACTCCTCTGGGAAGGCTGTTCACAAGGTTTAGGAGTGTGTCTATTGGAAGATTTGACCATTCTTACAGAAGCACAATGGTGAGGTCAGGCACTGATGTCAGACAAGAAGGCCTGGCTTGCACTCTCCACTCTAATTCATCCCAAAGTTGTTCTATTGGGTTGAGGTTAGGACTCTGTGTGTAGATCAGTCAAGTTCCTCCACCCTAGACTTGCTCATCCATGTCTTTATGGACCTTGCTTTGAGCACTAGGGTGCAGTCACGTTGGAACAAGAAGGGGCCATCCCCAAACTGTTCCCACAAATTTGGGAGCATCAAATTGTCCAAAATATTTTGGTATGCTGATGCGATAAGAGCTCCCTTCACTGGAACGAAGGGTCAAGCCCAACCCCTGAAAAACAACCTCACACCATAATCCCCCCCTCCACCAAACTTTACACTTGGCACAATGCAGTCAGGCAAGTACTGTTCTCCTTGCAACTACTAAACCTAGACACATCCATTGGATTGCCAGATAGAGAACCGTGATTCGTCTCTCCAAAGAACACGTCTTTACTGCTCTAGAGTCCAGTGGCGGCATGCTTTACACCACTGCATTCAACACTTTGCTTTGCATTGCATTTGGTGATATAAGTCTTGGATGAAGCTGCTCGGCCATGGAAACCCATTCCATGCAGCTCTCTACACACTGTTGTGCTAATCTGAAAGTCACACAAAGTTTGGAGGTCTATAGCTATTGACTCTGCAGACAGTTGGTGACTTCTGCGCACTGTGCGCTTTAGCATGCACTGTCATTTTACGAGTTGCTGTTCCCAGTTGCTTCCACTTTGTTATAATACTACCAACAGTTGACAGTGGAATATTTAGTAGAAAGGAAATTTCACTGATGGACT